CGGCTGTGGTGGTCCCCGTGGCAGCAGGTCTGGACGCTCTCCAGCGGGTTGCCGGGGCTCTCGGGCTGAGGGGAAAGGTCATTCTGGGCCCGCACGGGCTGCCCGTTGCCCAGGAAGACCCAGTGGTGGGAGTGGTCCATGTTGGTCTGGCCCTCGGGCGGGATGCGCTTGTGCCGGTACTTGAGCACAAAGACGATGCAGTTGATGAGGAACACCAGGATGGCCAAGCAGAAGACGCCCAGCAGGGCGTACATGCCAATCTCCAAGTCCGTCAGCCCCCGCGGTGGGCCCGCACGGGCTGCCCGTTGCCCAGGAAGACCCAGTGGTGGGAGTGGTCCATGTTGGTCTGGCCCTCGGGCGGGATGCGCTTGTGCCGGTACTTGAGCACAAAGACGATGCAGTTGATGAGGAACACCAGGATGGCCAAGCAGAAGACGCCCAGCAGGGCGTACATGCCAATCTCCAAGTCCGTCAGCCCCCGCGGCACCTGCACAAAGCCCGTGGGGAGGGTGGGGAAGTCCTCGGTGGTGTGGGGGACGCTGGGAGCGCCGCTGTCCTGGCTGCGCAGGGTGGTGCCGGCCGCGCCCTGCTCCCTCCCAGAGGACCCCGCCTTGCTCGGCACGTGGCCGGCGTCCCCGTAGTCATAGGGAGCCGCCCCCGCACGCCCGCCAGCGCCGTGAACAGCACGCTCTTGCGCTTGCTCTTCTGGCAGCTCTCGCAGATGACCAACTCGACACGCAGCAGGTCGCCCGCCCCCTCACCTTCCGCCACCACCAGGGGGAAGGCCCGGTCCTGGGTCACCGACACCACCTTCTCGTCCAGGCTGCTCACCACCAGGTTGTAGTCCCTGGGCTCATAGACGGAAAGGGGGGTCGAGGTGCCATCGCTGTACGAGACCCACACGCTCAGGAGGGCTTCCTGCGAAAACAAACATGGGGAATGGGGAGCTACGTATTGTCCCTCCGGTCGCTCGTATCCCCTGCTCTCCACCCTCCCGCCCATGCGCCCACTCCCCACCCATCCATCCTACCTTCTGTCCCACCCTCTATCCATCCATCCATGCCCCAATCTCCCCACCCATCCATCCCACCTACCATCCTACCCTCCATCTGCCCATCCACTCATCCATCCATCTCCCATGCTCTCCATCCATCCATCCTACCTACCATCCTTCCATCTGTCCATCTACCATCTGTCAATATGCCCATCCATCTCCCATGCTCTCCATCTGTACATCCTAATTCGAACTAGTGGGAGCCCTTCCCAGCTTGCCCTGGTGGCCACTCTGGGCCAAACCAGGGAAACTCTTTTGCTCCCCTCCCGGCCCCGGAGCCCCTAAAGGGGCACGGTCTGGCTACAGTGCTTGTGCCAGTTGCAAGCCTGCCAGCACCCAGCCATCAGACCCTGCACCTGGCACGGCATGAGCCCGCC